GTCCCTACATCTTTTTTGTAACGTGGCAACCAAAACTGGATTCAGCATTTCTAAGGCTTTCTCAAGCGATACTAATGCTTTGCACGGTTTTGATTCTATGCCTCTTCTTGATACAGCCAAGGATCATGTTCGCTTTTTTGGCTGCCGCCGCACAAACTCAACTGAGAGAACTAATTCTAAAGGAGGAGGATCTCTAGAGGCTTAATGCATCGGTCAATAATTACAGGCTTCAAAAGTATTTAGTCAATCTGGACCTGCCTTGGCTGGTTGATTTCACAGCCTTGCTCACTTTTAGTGGGTCTGCTTTGCAGAGGCCGCAACTGAAGTCGAGCGCTAATTGACTTGCAACTATTGAGCAAGAAGACAATTAAGATGAGTAAAAAAAAGAGAGAGAGAGAAGGTTTCACCCCTTTGCCATCTTGGCTTTAGCAGTAAAGGTAAAGGTTCCCCTCGCACTTATGTGCTAGTCGTTCCTGACTCTAGGGGGCGGTGCTCATCTCCGTTTCAAAGCCAAAGAGCCAGCGCTGTCTGAAGACGTCTCCGTGGTCATGTGGCTGGCATGAGTCAATGCCAAAGGCGCACGGAACGCTGTTACCTTCCCACCAAAGGTGGTTCCTATTTTTCTACTTGCATTTTTACATGCTTTCGAACTGCTAGATTGGCAGAAACTGGGACAAGTAGGGAGCTCACTCCGTTACGCAGCCCTAGGGATTCGAACTGCCAACCTTTCTGATGACAAGCTCATGCATTAGTCGCCGAGTCCCATAACTTCAAGATTAGTGGACTTCAACTCCCAGAATTCCCCAGCCAGCCATGGCTGGCTGGGGAATTCTGGGAATTGAAGTCCACAAGTCTTCAAGTTGCCCTCTAAGCACTTGTCATCAAATCCAATGGGAATTGCTCCCATGGGAGCTACCCCAGGATTCTCTGGGGGGAGAGAACAAGACTTCCATCTGCAGCTCCATCAGCTTCCCTGCTCGGCTGTTTCCCCTCTTGGAGACTGCAGAGATCTCGTAGTGTCCCCGATGCACCCAGGATCAAAGAGGGAGGGCCAGTCACTCCCGTTGTAAAAAGCCACGCCGGGGCTTCTTTTCCCCCGCTGCCCCATCCGAGAGGAATCGGCCGGCTTACCTTCCCATTTCTGGGGCTGCCATTAACAAACAGGGTGACTCTCTTCATGTCCTCCCTCTGGAGTTCCTGTACCAGCCTGGCTACAAACCCGGAAGAGTGGCTTCCTTAACCAACAGGCCCACCCACCAATCCGCCCCCGGCTCGTTTTCTCCTCTGCCCAATCGGATTCGAAGGAAACGAAGGGGGCGGGACTTCTAGGCTGGGAAGGCGTCCGTCCGTGCGATTTGCTTTTCAAGAAGCAGAAAGGGCGGGGCTTACGGAGAAGGGCGGGGCAGACTCTCGTTTTTTTACTCCTCCTCTCCGAAAAGCGAACCTCGCTCCTCATTGGCCAAGCTGGTATCACGTGATTTCTCCAACCGTTCTTTCATCGTTCTGAACGAACAATCCATCCGCTGGGCCGGGATTTCTTCCGGGGGGGGGTGAAATAGTCCTCCACTGGCCTCACTGATTTGCCTCCTCCAGCAAGCAGAGGAGAGGGCAGGCATCCCCAGTGGGTTTCGTATCTGAAGCCGGTTGGCCGTCTCGGACTCCGTTTGAGTGGAGAGAAGGAGCCACCTCCGCCTCCTGCGGCGGAGGGATACACGGCTCTGGCAAGCGGTGAGAGAAAAAAATTTGAACGAAGGGCGCGAGCGGAGGCCCGCCGGCGGCCGTTCGTCGGCGCCGAAGTCGGAACGGTCGTATCGTGTTGCTTTAGCGCATCCTTTTGCATGCTTACGGTAAGCCCAACAGCAGCCCTGAAAGCTTCGAAGGGTTACACTTATGGTAACGAAGCTCTGGACTTGTATTTTTTCAAGTTTGGCCACTGTAAGAGGGATGGACTTCAACTCCCAGAATCCCCCAGCCAGGATTCTGGGAGTTGAAGTCCATCCCTCTTACAGTGGCCAAGCTTGACATGCATAAATCTAGTAGGGCAATCCTTGCAATATGCCAGACAATCCCTAAGGAGGAGAAAGTAAAGCACCTTCCATTCTTTGGGAATGCATGTTTCCCATTGATGGGAAGTTTAAGGAGAAATTTCCTCACAGTTAAAACAATCAATCAGAAATGGATAGATTAATCTTAAAAATTAAAGATAAAGAACTCTGGAAATATTATAGGACATGGGATAAATTTTATGAATGGACAGAGACAAGGGGTGGAAATGAGAGGGAAGTTTACAAATGTCAATAATTATTGGTTTGGAAAATAAAGATATATAAAATTGTGGATATAATATGGAAAAATTGTAAATAAGCTAATGTAAGTAGAAATTTAGTTAAAGCTCACATTCTTTTTCTTTCGGTTGTATTACTGTTAATTTAGTACTGTTATAGTTATTAGCTTTTATGTTAAGATTTACTATTGATTTTTCTTTTGCTTTGCTTTATTTGTAATTGTTATCCGGACATGGCACTGTCTTTTCAATAATAAAAAAAGAACAATTAATCAGTGGAACAACTTGCCTCCAGAAGTTGTGCATGCTCCAACACTGGAAGTTTTTAAGAAGAGATTGGACAGCCATTTGTCTGAAATGGCGTAGGGTTTCCTGCCTAAGCAGGAGGTTGGACTAGAAGACCTCCAAGGTCCTTTCCAACTCTGTTATTCTGTTCTATGTGCAAGAGGGAGTCTCTTGGTCCAGGGTTGCAACCATCTGAGATAGGGTGGGGAATTAATTTTCCCAGGGGCCAACATGAGAAACTGGGACTGTGGTGGAGGGCCTCGATCCAACAGGGCTATGAAGGTGCGTAGGCATGCATGCACATACATAAATTGTAAAAAGTAACCTGCAAAATAAACAATGCATTTGTACTGCGTGCATGATAGTTGCACTTATTTACGGTTGATTTCTCATTTCCAAATAACTTCATGTTGGCCAGACACGAACAGCCAAAGGCCTGGATATGGTTTCAGAGCCATAAAATGTCCCAGTCTGGTTTGGGAGACAGGAAGAATTGCTGCAGACAAGGCAATTGTCATGCAAAAGGGATTTTTGCCCATAGAAGGAGGGTGGGTATTGGAAACTGACCTTCCCTGGGGAGGTTTTCTGGAGAGTAAAAGGAAAGGAGGGAAATTGTGTTTGTTCTATGCAAAATTTTCGTGTTGAACTTTGACTTCCTAAGCCTGAAGACTTAATCATGGAGCAGATCATGTGTCATATAGATAACCAGGCCAAGGACTAGTTATTTGCCTTGTCTAATATTATCCTTTTTTTTTCAAAAGAAAGGTATCAGACTTCTGTAGTCCAATATTGCTTAAAAGTCCCACTCTAAAGACCAAACTATTTCTCAAGAAAGCCACAATATCACTGATGAGTTAGCTGCAGCAAAGGCATTTCCGATGGAGAATCAGAATACTAAAACAGTACTTTCCGAGTGTTGCAATACACAACACAACTTGCATTTGGGGCGCGGAAACCCAATCAATAGCGTGGAGAAGATGGACTCTCTCTTCACAAGTGGTCCAGCAGATGCTCCAGCAGCAAATTTGTGTACAAGCACTGCCGTCTCTGAGAATTTGGGAAGCACCCTGATCAACAATCACCCTATGTTCACGAATGATACAGATGATTTAACAACTCCCAGGAGAAAATCACAAGAGAATACAAATGTTGAGATTGCAAACAACCACGTTACACCATCTAGAGGCTTGCCTGACAGTGTGGCAGTTGATTATAAGATTATGCCAGAGTTTTTTACAAGCCAGAATAAAGGTAAGGATTATGACCATCAGGGATGGTTAGGAAAATGCCATCAAACAGCTGGCATTCTGAAGAATAGTATGTTCATAACTTACCTCTGCCATGCAGCGGAATTAGAATTCCAAGATAGAAAAGAATATCTAGTTAAGCGATGAACTGTGGGGTCCTTTGTGCTGTCTGATCTTGGTTGCTTGCTTGCAGACGTTTTACTACCCAACTGGATAAATATCAGTGCAAGCGAGTGTGGGGTTTGCTGCTTTTTTATATTCAACAGCTTTCCCTGCCAGTGAGGGTGCATTTTCTTTCTTCGTATTCTTCCTTGAGTAGAGGATAGTTTTCTGCTTGATTGTCTGGTGAAGATCCCTAAGCAGATTCTGGAGGGGATGTTGTCTAATTGTTTTGTTTCGTTCCTAGGTATTTTAACTCCCTTTTGAATGATGTGTGAACGTGGTTTATCTCTATGTGTCTACTATTTTGATCTGTCTATAGTAAGCTTCCACTAATTGTCTAGTAGTTTGGCTTGATTTAAGATGGGGCTTGGTCTAAGATGCTAATAGTTGCCCAGTTGAAATTCTGACTGAGTTTGTCCAGAGTTAATCCTAATCTCACTGGCAGGATAAGCTTTTGAAACGCCTGCAAACAAACACCTAAATTCAGAGAGCACCACAGCATAAGGATTGACTGAAGTAAGAAAATTAGTAAAAATGTGCTGTTGTTGGTTTTCAAATTGCTTTTTCCATGTTATCTTCATTGGGTGTTTCAACAAAGCCTGCCTTTGTTTTAGAGGAATTCAACAATATATTGAAAAAATTAAGACGGCGGTCTACAATTGGAGCACGAGGTTCTCCAGAAAATAATTCTCTCATCCAGTATATTGCTCGACAAAGGAGAATGAAGGTACAAGAAACTTTGACACAAGTAAGTGTGGTGGAACTCAGAGTAAGAACATTAAATCTCCCCCCACACCCAACAGGATGCTAAAATGTCTTAGATCAAATGAGCAAAGATTAATATCTGGGCTGTAAAACTCCAGTTAATTGCTAGATAGGAAAGGAAAAGGAAATGGATTTTTATAGCCCAGATCAGGTAACTCCATCCACGTTGGACATTGGATGATAGAATCGGATCAAGTTGAAAAAAAAAATAGTTTGACTATTTTGACAAAATGTTTTGGAAGCCTGTGTTTTCAAAGAAGTGTTGATTAATTTCTGAAATCTAACATTAGACCTGTGCTGAGAAAGTCATGCTTGGAAGATTCAATTGCTGACTTTAACAGGAATCTATTTTGGGGTTTTGATTAAGAGGCAAGTTCAGATATTGGTAAATTATTAAACTGTCAGTTTGCCACTGGGTGGCGATGGTGTATTTGCTTCCATGCAGGAGGTCTTCCCCCTATTCCCTTTTCCAAGTAGGTGCTGACAGGAGTTAATCCATTGTTGCTCTGAAACTGAAAGGCATTTCAGAACTCCTGGAGTATCTAACGGCCTTTTATGCTTCACTGTCTGGATTTGGGTTTTGTACTAAGCCATAACTTGGTTTGTTCAATTTTCCTTTAGGATAGCATATGAATCTAATTCTAGAGATCCGTATATCATGGCTTACCATTTAATGTTGTAGATGAACCCAGCAAAATGTAGCTTACCATTAACCATTAACCATTATTTAAAATCTAGCTCCAATAAATAAATACATACATACATACACACACACAGACACACACACATCTATATAATGGTCTGTATATTATATGACATATAATTTAATGTTGCAGATCAGAGGTCTCCAACCTTTCCTGCTTGTAGGGCCAGTGGGGGTAGGATGGGGATTGGGGACGGTTTTGCACACATGCGCACACCGCTATCACAGATGCAGCTTTGCTCGTGTGCACTCACCCACCACTTCTGCAGCTCTGTTCTGAATGTGTGCGGCCCAGCATTAGGTCATGGACCTGGGAACCCCTGTTGTAGATGAAGCCAGCAAAATGTAGCTTATTCAATCAACAGTTGTTTAAAATTTATCATACATACATACAGTATACACACACATACACACACACATACACACACACACACTGTGTCTGAGCCAAGGTGGTGCAGTGGTTAAATGCAGCACTGCAGGCTACTGCTAGATCAGCAGTTCAGCGGTTCAAATCTCACCGGCTCAGGGTTGACNCCAAGGGGGCACCACAAAGTTGAGAAAGAAGAAAAATCAACGAAGATTTGTACAGTATGTACAAAGGAGAGGGCATCAAGATTTGTCAGTGCTTAGAGCACCAGTGAGTCTTAATCCACCACTGCCAGAGGGAGGAGGGAAATGGGGTCACAAAAAGTTGGACATAACTTAGCGATTGAACAGCAACAAACCTTTTTAGAGATGTCTGCAAGGAGTTTTTCTTTTAAACTATTTTCTGATACCTAGATCAAATTTTGATTTTTTGATTTAAGCTTCTGATTTTTTGATTTGTGCTTCTGATTTTCATAAGGAAAATTGAGGTGAGGGGGAAGGGTTTCCACGAATTCTACACATTTCTATAAATGCAGAGCTCTAATGATTTGGGACAGATTGATTGGTTGGTTGCTCTTGGTTTTGCAAGACTTTACCACTTAATTCTAGGCATATTCTATGGGAAATAAGTCCCATTGAATTAAATAGGAATTACTCTCAGCTCAGCGCGCAGAAGCTCGCACACTAAAAACCACATTTATTCCAACCTCACTCTGGTGCTTTTGGAGTGCAAGTTGGGATATTTTGGGTATAAAAACTGCCTCAGTTGTGAGGCGATCTGGAAAATCTGGAAGATTGCATGCTGGGAAATGTTGCTAATAGAAATTTTGGAGTTCCACCTTGCAATTCAAAGAACCAATTTTAATGTTCCCTTCATAATAGAAAAAAATGTGTTCATGGGGGGGCATTGGAAATACAGATTTACTACAGACAGGAACCAAAGAAAGAACTATTCCTGATAAATGTGTGTGTATATGTGTGTATACACACATCCGTTATAAAATATAAATTCATGTTTAAATGGAAATAGAAATTGCCACACTATGATATACCTTGGACAGAAAAACATGTTACATTTCTGTACTTTCAGCCATTTGGTTAATATGATTGTGATTTGGTAAGTTCATTTGTTTGGGCAAAAAGAAAAGAAAAATATCAGCAAGATAACTCCGTGTATTACAAAGAATATAAACTATAACCAACAATATTGAGCATAATAGCAGGTAAAGGCACAATGGTCTCTAGTTGTTTATACAAGTTAGCTTTCAAATGGAAAGTGCTTTGTTCATAATGCTAATAAAAGAGCCGTGTTTCATTTTCTTTCTTTTTGAGAAATAAATATTATGCTACATTTCTTCAAATTGCAGGGAAAAAATTAGATTGCTAGCAAATAGCTTCCACTAGATGCAGCTGGAAAGGGAACAGCAATACCCTGCATTTCTATATCTATCAACATTGAATGTAACCTCTGCAAGTGTCTATTCGGTGCTGCTGGGCAGGAGGTAATCAAGCCGAATAATTGCTATGCATGGCAAAGTGTTCAATCTTTACCTTTCCATTGCTTTTCATGGCAGAGGAGGATAATGAAGTCGACCTTGTTGTCATTGGCCTGTCTTTTATTATGTGATTTTTCCCTTAATCTTAAATATTGTTTTGTATGAAACATGCTGTGTTTTGTTGCAGGAGCAAGTGCTGATGCACATCGTACAAATCTGCAAGGTTCAAGAGATTCTGGCACAAGGCCAACAAGAATTTTAGATAAACTACTGAACAACCTATGCCCCTGTTGGGTCATCATTTCAGACATATTTCTTTGCCTAAACAGAGAAGCAGAATGACCACGGGTTGGCAGCAAGCAATGGGAACAAGAGTAACTTCTACCTTCCTGCCAGATTCCCCATTGACCGTCCTTCCTTCCTTCCTTCCTTCCTTCCTTCCTTCCTTC